GAAGCCAACACATGTGCCGAAATGGAACGAGCATTGACTAGCTACCTATACGAACGCGAGCCAGGGCTTAGCTTTCGCGATCAAAAGCAACATACCCATACATACATACACACATACATGTTACAACATACCCCACCCGGCTCTGATACAACATGTACCTAGCCGCCATCTTGGAAAAAAAAATCCTCGTGCTAAAAAAAACAGCGGACAGCTGGAGAAATCCGTTTTCACTCGCGCAGCCTTAGAACTACCTCACCACCGCTACGGAGATCTTTCAAATTCGTGCACATCTAAATGCCCAAAACACACATTTTCTTGCAAACTTTTTTTTAGAATGACATTAAAAAAACATAAAATCGGCTCTCACCTCGAGACGCTTCCACTCAGCCACAAGACAGAACAGGGAAAGATGGCGCCCGGAAAACCTCGTCGGCTGGTCGTGTCGCGAGCGCTATCCATTGGATAAGTTTGGCACAATTCGCCCTGATACAACTTGGACATGATACAACTCTCCCCGCTCTCCCCTATGCAATCTTTGTGAGAGGGGTTGGATTCCCAGAAACGTAGGTGCTAAATACATTACATAATAGTCCGAATGCACACAGCTTGTGCATGCCAAGTATACCACATAGCAAATGCACATTGCACATTCCTTTGTTCTAGCATAAGCTTGTAGGCTATTGCCTACTTATCAAGAAGCTTAATGAACTTACGATTTATAGTGCTTGGCTTGAAAGCGAGCGCAGCAAAAAGCGACAACTGACAGAAAGTTGACAGAAAGCTGAACGCATATCACCTACGGCCTACCTGCTTCACGGCTTTGAGCTAAGCAGCTTTGCCTGACCGAGCTCCTGCATGGTTTCAACGTCCTCACCTAATCCTGTCATGAACACCGTCGGTCGTCGGCCGATGGTCGGACGGATCGTCGCTCTCGACACGTGGCCGCCGTTTTACATGTCCGACATCCTCTCAAAAGGAGAGCTACTTCAGTGCCGGCGGCACTTAGGGGACACTGCACTGCGCTGCTCTTCATTGTAGATGGCTCAGCCTATGGGTATTTGGCTTGGTCTTGATGGGTGTTGTGTGGAATGTTAAAATATGCCTAAAAGCGGTTAATAATGAAAATATATAAAGATAATAATAAATGAATATTGGACAGCGACAAAATGGGCATCGCTTCTACGTTAAACCAGCACGGTTTGTTAGTTCATGGTGGCTGGTCGATGGTTTATGCACGGTGCACTGCTCGTGTGACGTAGGGAAACTATTGACAGATCATTTCACCGACAGAAAAGGCTATAGCTGAATAAGTGGCTTCAAGAGCTTATTCTCGTTGTAGGTGATGCTCAAACACCGGCCGATGTACTGACATGGGAAGGAGGCCATCCCATTTCATAGAGTATAAACTAAAAAAAAAACAAGCATACTGATACCTATTGCCATAAAATTTTAGGTCCTACTTACGCGTTACATGCAAAGCTTGGCTAGTTTTTGCTAAGGAACAGACGCATTTAATAACGCGCAGCAACTTTCAAAGTCGGGTTATTTCAATTACCGTAAACGGGGGTGACTTTGCCATGTTTTCAACTTTAGACGCTTGTATTCTTTACACTTCTTAACTTGTTGGGATGACTCTATGTTCAAAACACGGATGAAGATTAGCTCTTTTGGTTTTGCTATTATCGTATTTATATCTTGCCTAAAAATATATTTTTTAAAGAAAATGAGTCGTGGCAAAGTTAAACTGAAAAAGGGGTGACTTTGCCACTATGTCAAAAATGTTTTTTAACGCTTGCAAATAATTTTTAAGTATTTTTGTTCCATTGTATGGGGAGGCCAACCATCTTTAATTGTTTAATAGGACAAAATGAAGCAATTCAAAGTTTTTTGCTCTTAAATGATGTACAAAAAAGGAGAGATACATTACTTTTATAATACATTATATTTGTTGAAAATTATTGACATTGATAGTAAATAGAAACTGAAAAATGGTTCAGAATAGACAAATAAGCAAAATATGATTCTATCGGTACTCTAGGACCGCGCCACATTCCTCCAGCGGCATTGAGAGGAACAGAAAGAAGACGTTCTTGCGGCAAATTACCGGCACCCTTATTATCAGCGTTTTGATCTATAAAATTATACCGATTTCTTCAGCTAGTCTTACTGGCAAACTCAGGAGTTGTAGATGATCATGACTGTGCTGAAAAGTTGGGCCCAGCTTCATCCATTTTTTTTTAGTTTGGTAATTTTTGCCTTTCTATACTCCCACTGTGCATTCCTGTGCTAATTTTAAACGTATAAACTCTCACTTTTTTAAAAACCAGTTTAAAAACCAGCCCATAAAAACCAGTTAACCAGATGCTACATTAAAGATTATTTTGAATTGCATTGGATAAGTAGGTAGTCAATTTTTGCATAAATAACATGGTGGCAAAGTCAACCCATGTGGCCTGCTATTCACTTGGAAAAATCGCCACCAAAAATTTTAGCTAAATGAAGTGACAAATGCCAGTTTTGTTGGATATGCTAACTTAACAGCCTTGTCATGATCAACCATACCAAGCTTCAGCATCGCAGGTTGTCTAAGACATGGTTAGATAATAAAAAGTTTGAAACTCTTCAAATTTGACCATTTCAATGACTCCAATAAAATGGAGCCCAGTTAGTTATTAAGTGGTAACTTACCTATCAGTGTTAGTTATATTGGGAGGCCCATCAATTACCTTTCATTTGTGCATAACATTACTACATTCCTCGTAAAATATCATGGGAGATCTCCCTAAAGCATTTTTCGAGAAGCATGGCAAAGTCACCCGGCGAGGCAAAGTCACCCCCGTTTACGGTACCGATGTCACTGAAATAAAACCTTACAAACAGACGGCTACCATCCACACGCCGAGCGACCCGGCTATGTCTCTGTCGGTCCGCCGCCCGGAGCCGACGGGCCGGCCGGTCAAGGTCACCTGGCGGACTTTGCCCCCGGGAGGTAGGCTGACCCGCTGGTGCCAGGCGACGGCCGGTGACAAGCGCGGTGGCTCTGCTAGCTTAGGGGCTGGACGGCGAGCACAACCCGTCGACACACCACAGCAGCATTGTATAGTAACACTCTCTTAGTTCGTCTATCTGTTTTTCCTCGTCTTGTGGAAAACGTGTTTGGCAATAGTTGATCCAGCTGAACACGTTTTTATTCCGTTTCGACTTGAATCATTTCCAACCAGACCGCCACTCGCCAGCCCCGCCAAAGATAATTAATACGATCGTGAACACATGGTTGTGTCAGCTTAGGTCACTGTAAGTTGGATGGAGATTGCAGGGAATCGAAACTATCCCCTAATTGGCGTGCCTACCTAAACTCCACGATGCCTAGTTCATTGCTAAAATTGCCCGAAGCGCCCGATCCATTTAGGTCCCCGGTGTCTTATATCTTGTGAAATTGTGCGGTGCATAATAGGTGCTGGTTGGATCTGCGCTTTGTGATCTCATTATAGTTTGGAGCTATGTCAACCAAACAACTCGTTTGTCTTTTTTTCAGCGGACAGCAGCTTTTTACTGGCCAATGCGCAGATTGTCGACTACCCAATTGTCTACTGCAACGAGACATTCTGCAAAATATCCGGCTTCAACCGAGCTGAGGTAAGAACAATAAACTGGTGACCGTTCAGCTTAGTACAACAAAGCACTTCTGAAATGTATCCGGCTTCAATCGACCCGAGGCAAAACAGGAGCACCAAAGTCGTGAAGATAGGGTGTTTTTCTGCGGCTCTTTGCTATAACGATATCGGTATTTGTTGACTATGGAAACTCCGGTGTTGCAACACCAATGCCATAAAGATAAATTAATTCACAACTGCAGCATTACGTGTTTGAAATGTCACGTAGAGACGTGTTTTAAACAATTTTTATTTCATTTTTGCTTGAGCTGCTTCGAGCGTTATTCCACGTCTAAAATATCTCGCCGTCACAAAAACCTTTTAAGAGTCGTAAAAACGTTAACGCCAATCATACATATATAAAAATTTACTCATTACATGAAACACTCAACAAAAAATGATAGGGTACATTTTCATTATTTCACCTTGTAGCTACCAACTGACATCCGTATGCATGTAATGGAGAAAAAGCAATGGGACCGTCATTTACCTCCTTTCACCTTAAAAACATCCGAAAAGCCAGTGCTTCACTGCCAATCTTCTGACGGCTGGCGCGGCGCTGGCCTCGCCTTCGCGTGTGGGTGGGATTCTGCAGCCCGCCGGTGGAGTCGGTCCATCTTGTCTCACTATCCGCTCGGTTCGCGGCGATTGGAGCGGGCGCGGCGCCCCGGCAGCGATGCAGCGGGGCGCCGGCTGTGGGCGCCGCTGCTTTACGGCGTGTCACTTCTGCGGCCGGCTTCCAGATCCTCCTCTGCGCCAGCTACAGATGGATGGCCGCATACGGCCGGCATCCGAGCCCGGTGCCGAGGCAGTTTGTTTTCGTTTAAGGTGAATACAGCAGACAATATGTTTCCTTCTCGCCAGCCGAACAAATGGGAAAGGCATAAAGATATCTGGAAAACATGAGTCGATGTTTGCACAGTAGGTGGTGCTCTTTGTTGCCTTTTATAAGGTGTTTCATTCCAGAGCGTACTAACAAAGTCGCTGTATCAATTATTGCTAGGATACACCCAAGTGTCGAACATAGAGATCTTATATACAATATCTATGTATATACCGTAAAGTGGGGCTATTTGAGACAGTGGGGCTATTTGAGACAGTAAGGTAGTGGTTTAGTAAAATCGCTGTAAAATGAAAACCGTTTGATATTTTTTCGTCATTTTTGCTTAGGCTGATGTGGAATTGAACAGTGAATGACCTGAAAACCCTTTTTGAAAAGTTTCGAAGAGTTTTGAAAGAAATTTGGTGTAAAATATGAAATACAAAAAAAACGCACAATTTAAGTTGCTCGAAAAGGACCCCTACCTGCCGCTTAACATAGTTGAAATTTTAACAGCTTAAGCACTGCATCTATCGTTACTACCGTTTTACTTATAGGCTAAGCATATTTTTCATGAAAATATTATATATTGTTAACGTTACCGCCGATTGCGTAACCCATTGTCTCAGAATCCCGACGATGCCCACCTGGTCAAACCTCAACCGATATGCCAAATAGCTACTGATAATGGCGATGCGATTGCACCAGAGAAGACTTACCACCATCTACTTGAAGTGCATCGAACGTTCGACATGAGCAACACCGATGAATCGGTCGTGGTCATAAACGTGCAGTGGGTTCATGGTAGGTACTTTTATGTAGCAGCAAGCAATATTTACATGTTCGTAGTGTAACATAATGACCCTTTAGCTGGTGACCAAACTAGTTATTCTGATGAATATGCGCTTAAAATGTGCTTCATCAGTCACTGACTTAGTCGACAATCAACACATGTCTACCTTGGTTGACCAAAAAACACCATTGAAGATTACTTAACACATGAACGTACTGTTAGGTGAGCCTATGCAAGTAGGCTTGATGTGGTAGGGTAACCGGCCAATTGATACAGCATGCAGCGATCGAGGAAAACCGTCATAAAATCAAAACCACTTAACATTTTTCTGTTATTTCTTCGCATGAAGATGTGCAATGGAACAAGGAATCATGCAGACCAATCACTTAAATGTTTTGGGAAACCTTTTGATTCATTACGGTGTGCTTCATTAAGTAGCGAGCCTGTCTCAAATAGCCCCATCGACTTTCAGTATGTATGTTTTCACGCCACCAGGGCTATATACAAAAACTTTCTTTCAAAATTTTACTGTTATTGACTTTAGAATAGTCCTTGATGATCATTCTGCAAATTTGAAAGTTTAGGGTCACATCATATTATGATAGCCTTAGCATATAGTGATGCAATTTTATAACCTTCCGAAATGAAGCATTCTACGAAAAAGGAAAAGATTGAATATAAAGGAAATATAACTGTCTTTGCAAAAACATTTTTTGCCAGAATGATCAAAATTTAATTTCCAATCGCATGGCATTTAAAAAATTATCTCTAGCGTGACCGATTTTCTTCCATTTCTTCGTAACTAAAACTGTCTCAAATAGCCCCACCCTATGGGGCTATTTGAGACAGGCTTTAACGAAAAAAATATCCTTAATCATTATTACTAGCTGAACCAAAATACACCTATATGAAAGAGCTTACGGAGAACTACATTTTTGCAATTTACATGCTATAAGAAATATGAACCGTCTTAAAGGGAGAGGCCAAAAACTGTAAAATCCGTTTCAAATAGCCCCACTTTACGAGATCTCTATGGTGTCGAAGACCTTCTTCAGTGCGATTCGATCACTGAACTCTAATATATACTGGAAGGACCATTGGTGGCTTGTTTTTGTCTATCGATTTCCGCCATGTTGTGTATACCAGAAATATAAATTGCATTACGGTAGCAGAGGTGCAGTTTAGTGAGAGGTACACTTCTCAAAAGTGCTGCTGCTTCATGCTTGCAGTTTGATTGCAGCGATCAACTTTTCAAGACTTTGGTATACACAACATGGCCGAAATCGTTAGACATTCTGGCCCATATATGGCCAAGGCGAGTGCTTCCCCCTGGATTCGATCTATTGTTCAGATGCGCGTGACATTTGGTCATTGCTGAAATTTTCAGAAACCATTTGACAATTACTTCTGCGTAGGTATGTACAACTAAAAAGACTTTTTGTTGCCGTCAGAAGTAAGTAGCGTTCTTTTTATAGCAAAAGTCTCTGGCTACTACCCCTGAAGTGTTAATTCAGCATGAGTCAGCACCATGCAACTTTATCACGCAACCACTACAACATTGATTCGTTCAGGCTGGTTTCATTATCCGCTGTGGCGAACAGGGGTCATCATGGCGGGGAATAACTAGCGTTCCTGGAGATCCATCGGTAGCTGCCCATTTCCGATATTATTTGTTTATCGGAGTGATTGATGTGACGTAGGATAGCCACCGAGACCCGGTCGCGGCCGGTCGGAGGCCGCGCCCCGGCATGGGGCGACTCGCAGTGCCCCAACGGCCATCACTTACCAGTTGTCTTACGTTCGTCCTAATACCGTATCTCCAACTGGTGACGTCAGTGGCGCTGATGACGTCAGAGAGATGATTAGCTGCAGGATATATAGACTGGCCTGCATGCATTTCCGATGGGGAGTATACCGCTAAAGATGCGGCACATATCGCCATTCGCTGCCATTTCATGCGTAAGAACGCATTAGCTTGAATGGTCTGGATAGAAACTTAAGGCTGATTATCACTACATCACGATCACGAAGATTATTGGTCTGGGAGGGAGAACGTTGCCGTTGCCCGAGTCATAGTGACACTCCGCGTCGGTTTCATTACTGGTATATCGTTAGACACTCTGACATCCGTGGCCGACATGAAGCTAGCCCCAGCATTGGCCTCGCTAACTCTCGCAGCTGCTACCGGCTGGTGACCAGCTCTCGCCCCGACTTTTTCCGAGAAATGTGCCACTTCTCCGACCACTATTGGTGCGCCATCGATTGCCTTGACCGCGCCACTTAGCGAACGACCACCGAAGGCGAATGAGACGCGCAAGGGGAGAGCCTCCGGAATCGGTAGCGTGAAGCGCCTATTGTAACTGGGTCACTGTTCGGAGACAGATGTAATCATTTGTGGCAACATGGCTTGCTACTGCATGGATAGGGCTGCAGTTGTTGGCAAATGGAAAATTAATAAACTCCAAAAGTGTTGATACTAATAGCACCATTTGTTAAATCCCCTGAGCTGTAGTTTGTATGTGATTTGATAGTTACTTATTTAGTTTTGCGTGCGTCGGTGGCTTACTTATTTCCCATAGGCATTAGATGTAAAAGTATTTCCTCATTCCCGAAAGCTCTCCACCCTGTTTTAATTATTGCAAGTGACGTGTACTGGACTGATTGTAAAGTGGAGGCCTCACTTCGCGTCCGTCGTACAGTCCCACAGGTTTACCAATTACATTGTCGCTAAGTTGATCAGATAAAGAAAGCCTCCTCGCTTGCACGTGGTATGTCGTGACACTTTAATATAGACACTAGACGCTAGCGAGCTCTGATTTGTCGCTTCGTCGTTCAGCTAATGGTCTGTGTTTGTGACGCGTAACAACACAGCCGATTATCCGTCACGGAATGGGGCTGCTATGTACGGGGTGAGGTCAGCCCCCGTGGCAGTGACCTGATACAGAGAGCTGACGGTGGGCCGCGGGTGACTCACCATGGATTGAAGGGGCGAGTGTTTTAGAGCGATGGCCCGGCGCTCTCAAGAAGGTTTAGGTGGGGTAACAGGAGCTTGAAACGCGTAGAGTTCTTGCTCTTTGATGTCATTTATTTTACCGATCGGTCTGATCGGATTGAAAATGCTCGGTGATTTATAGAAAATGGATTGGAATGATTCGTTGATCTTAGAATATATTTAAGCTACCAGAGGATCGGTTGCCGAGACATTCGTGTTCCATGTATTGGTGCGAGTCTGATTTGTTTATGCGCGTTTTTGTATGTATGTACCCGGTTTTCGAAAATTACAACACCTATCTATGCAGGTACATGAACATTAGGGTGTGTCATATCAAATATTTTTGTCTCAGATCAAGCGCTTCCGCGGATATTCCTT